GCAATCGTTTTCATCTATTTAAACTAGTTAAAAACAAGATTTCATATCAAATTTTGAGAATATTAAAGCATTATAAAGTCTTTTAATGATATCACTCTTATTTGGAATATGATATTTAATTCACTAAATAATTTAATTTAGTGGTCTATAATTGATGACAATCATTTAAACTCCATGTTCAATTTTAGCTTGATTTTAAACATAGAAAGAGGTATAAGACCAATAAGATTTAATTGGTTTAATGAAACCTTTATTAAGTAGTCTATTGATTTATGTTTTGTATTAATTGACTAAGTCTTGATTCATTTGAACAGGTTTGGCTTTTGTAGGGATTTTTCTTTTATCAAACCTGTTTTCAAAAGGTAATTGAATTGTATAATAGTTTTTGTTCCAAAAGATATTTGGTAAATTGAAACATATTTTCTTTTCATATAATTCTTGAAATTGTTTAATATTTTATTGATTTTAGGGAAGTTTAACATTTTTAATTTTTTAATAATATATTTCTTAATTTAATGAGTGTAGGTGTTTTTTTAATTACAAAAATTAATTTATCAATTGACTTGTTTTAAAAATTATTTATTTCTATTGGCTTAAGGGATAATATAAACTTAAAAATTATTTCTTAACCAAATATTTTTGTTTTGATATCTTGATTGCTTAGTTTAAATGGATATATTTGAGTTAGAAAAGGAGTTTCTAAAATCATTTGTTGACACATAACTTTAACAATTATAAAAATATTCTTAAAACAAATTTTTTAATTACATATGTGAACATTTGATAACTTGTAATTGATTTGAAGTTTTTTACCATTATCGCCACTTAATATTTATATGATCTTTTCATAATATTTAGTTGGTACAAATTCTTCTTAAATATAATTTTGACCTACTCTAGAATCTATAAGAGTAATTATTTTAATTTGATGTTCATTGTTAATGACTAATGCTATTTTTATATACCATTTTTGAAATTTTATTTTTGTTATTGTGTTTATTAATTCTTGAGATGTTGCAAGTAATTATTTATTTATGAATTCTTCTTGGTCAGAAAAACGATCTTGTTTTTATAATAATAATCATTTTAATTGAGTTTTATTTTGATTGTAGTGAGTTGTCTTAATTCTTTTTTCATTTCTCTAATTTCTTGTAATAAGTCTTGAATTGTAGTTGAGCTTTGTTGTATAGGAAATTGATTTAAAATTTGTTGAAGATTATATGGCTTTATATCATTTGGTCTATTTTCATTTGAAACTAGGTGTCTTAGTTTGAGAAGATATTCTTTTTTGATTTCAGGATCATAAGTTTTATTAATAACATCTCATATTAAATTATTATATTAATTTCTTTGAACGAACAAGTACAAATTGTTAAACTACAATTATCATTTTCTTGATCACTATCTAATTCACTTAAGGTTTTATTATTTTGAATGACTAGTATTTCATCGATAGGACTTTCTTAAATATTGATGTCAATATCTAAATTAAAAAGGTTGACAATTTGATTTCTAATTTTATCTTCTATTTCTAACTCTTGAATTTATTTTTGTTTTTATTTTTACATTGACTTTTATAATGACCTACTTAACCATATTTAAAACAAGTTGGTTTAATCTTGGTTAATAAGATATAATATTATAACTTACATGTTAGGAGATCATTACTAGCTTTCGTTGTATTTTTTTTATTTTAATATTTAAGAAAAAATTTATTATCTAATTAGATAAAGAACAAAATGAAAGATATATGGCTTATTTAAATTGTGCAATGAATACAAAAAAAATAACCTCTAATAATTTGGTAATTGAATTGACCAAAAATGAGAAACTTGATGGAAATAACTATGACATTTAGCATAGAGAATTTATTATCTCTTAAATAAGAAAGAAGTACTAGAGACCTTGACTAATAGGATGATCCAACATAAGAAAAGAATAACTATTGAACACTAGTATGACCAACAAGCCTATAAGGCTTATGTCGGTAAGGGTAGAACTGCATGCTTTGCTATGTTAAGATTTATATAGGATGACCTAATTAAAGAATTTGAGATCCATCGGATTGCTAAAGAAATGTAATACTAACTTAAGGTGAAATTTGGTAACATGACACCAACTACTTTATGAGCCTTAACCTTTAAATTTAACCAATATATAATCGATCTAAAGTAATCTATAGCGAAACACCTTGGAGTGATGTTCTTCGTGATTAGAGAGTTGTAAGCAACTAGTAATAATATCACTAATGAACAATAAGTCCAGATTGTCATTAGATCTTGACTTGAATCCTTATGAAGCCATATGAAGATGTTGCTAACACATAATGAGGATGTTAAGACCTAGAATCATATTGGTTAACATCTTGAACTTTAATTTAAGCATATATAGGCAAATTATACTATAATTTTAACAATTAAAATTAGACAATGTAGGGTATTCAAGCCTAAACACAAAGAACAACAAAATAAAACGGAGCTCTACAAGATGATGCTGCAAATTTAGCACCAAAAGTTGGCATAATAACCAAATGCCATAGAGGTAAGAGTAGAAAAAAATAACATAACCAAGGCTAAATTCTACAACTATGAAAAATTGGATCACTTCGCTTGGGATTGCTTTAAGCCAAAAAAAGGTACAACTCTATCCAGACTCTTTTATTGGTATATATACTTACACATATTTGTTACTCATATTATCTTTAGTTAGATCATAGATACGAGAACAACAAAACATATAACTAAAGATTGAGTTGGATATATAGATTATTGGTGTCTACCAGCAGATAACCATTACATTATTATGGGTGATGACACTTAAGTTGATGTCTTTGAAGTTGGCATATATTGTTTAAAAATGTGCACTAAATGCAACTTATTGTTTATATGACGTGTTGTATGCCTCAAATGTCTATTGTAATATCTTATTAGTTTTAGTTTTATTCTCTTTAGGTTTTTTTTTTTTTTACTTGGAAAGTACTCAAATGAATATTTATTTAGGTTTAAATTTTATTGGACTTTGTCAATTTGGTAAAGGTTCTTTTATGTTGGATTTGGACTTGCATTTAATAATGACATCGTTTTAATGACATGCGTTACTTCTTTTGATATTATATCTAATTTAATTACATGATATACAAGATTAGGACACATATGATAAGATAGATTGGCTAGACTAGCTATAGATGACTTATTGGACTCATTTACTAAAATAAGCATGCTTATATATATAAGCCATGTTTGGTAGGAAAATCACGCAAAAAGCTTTTTGGTGAGGCTAAAAAGAAAAGCTACTCGTTAGATCTAGTACATCAAATACTTATGGACCTATGAATATAAAAGCATGTCATGACATTTCTTATTTTCTAATTTTCACAAATGATTGCTCCTGGTGTGGTGTTGTGTACATGTTATCTCACCGATTAAATGCCTTAGATTATTTCAGATATTTTTTTGACATAAGTTTAGGATAAAAAAAGAGAGCAACTTAAAGATTCTTTGTACTGATAGAGGTCGAAAGTATTTATTAGAACAATTCAAAGAACTATGTAAGGAAAAAAAAGATATGCAGACAATTAACAATTCTTTACAGTTTGTAAAAAAATAAAGGTGTTATGTATAATGAAAGAATTATACACTTTTAGATAAGGTCTATGATGACATAAGCTAACTTTCTAATTAATTTTTGGAAGATACACTATTGATTGTTTCCCATATTCTTAACTATATATCCTTAAAATTCATTTCCCCTATCCTCCGTGAACTTTTAGAATGATGAAAAATCTAATTTAAAAGGCTTATACCTATGAAAATTTATCAGTTATGCTCATAAATCTTTACATAAATATGGTAAATTAGGTTCCAAAGCAACCAAACATATTTTTATTAAATAGTTGAGTACTTTAAGGACTATGTTATGTATAGTAAATATTCTAATAGAGGAATGACTAAGATAAAGTCCCATGATATGAATTTTCTAGAAGAGGATTTTGCAAGTATTGGTGGAGTTAAAAAGATATTCAATTTTATGAGTTATAAGAACCTCATGAAGGTTTTCTATTATCTTATGGTTAGGATAATATTTCTAAACTTTATCCTACATTTGTCATAAAGGAGTATATCATTAAAGATAGATTCTTAAATGTTAAAATAAATAAATAAATAAAACCTCTTTCCTTTAACCATAATGTTAATTTGAATTTGTGTATTCTCTATTAATAAAATTGGATTTGTTTTTGCAAATTTAAATATCAATCAAATGTGAGAATGCTTTTTTTAACATTTAAGAACCTTGTAGAAAAGTAATCCAAATAAATTATTGGACCAAAATCCAATATAATACAGTGTATAAGAAAAAAATTAAAAAACAATTGGTGACTAAATTTAAAAAAAACTTGAATAACAAAAAGAAAAGAAAAGTGAACAATGTTATATGAATGAACAGATCTTTTAGAGTTCTTTTATTTTGTGGATAACGTTCGTATTTGCCATCTCTCTAGCAAAAGTCAAAGGTTTGGATGTGGTAGACTAATTGATATATATAGTCTGGCAGCCGAATTGATAATTGTTATATCAATTGGGAGCTAATATGTGGTTACACCAAAAATATATTACATATATTTTCATTTATGTTAAGAGCAAATATACCATAATCATAGTAAGAAGGAAAAAAAAATACTATAGATTTCATCTCATTATCGTCAACAAGAATCACTTCAAGGAGAAAAAATTATGACAAAAAAATAAGAGTGCATAATGGAGAATTCTTCATTTTCATTTCACCACTAACATGTCACTTAAAATTTTATTTTTTTTTAAATTAATTTTTCTAATATTTTCAAATCATATTAAAAATAATTTTTAAAAAATAGTATTTTAATATACTTTTAAATAAAAAACATTTTAAATAATAATTACTAAAACACTCCGACCCACCCTTTTAAATCCTGCTTCGTGTTAGAATGTAATTTAAAAGCAGCCCCCTTTAAGTCACATGTCCCAGCTCAAAAGCGTTCTGCCACTTTTGTTTAAATTACATGGTAAGAGGCAAGATTGTCATAACGGCTCCCCTCAAACACAAAATTAAAACAAACCATAAATATAGTTAACATGTTTTACTCCTACCTCACAAAAGGCATAAGTTGCAAGCAAACACAGTAATCGGAACTAGAAACATAACCATCAAAACCACCCTTTTCTACAAAGGAGAGGAACCAGACCCAACTGCCTTCCACAGCTTGACCCATTCAACCATGGCTTCAGCAGCACGAGTGAAAACAGGATTTGATGGTCCTAACTGTTGCTTCACTGTTGTTGCCATCTCAAGGATGCAGTCTTCTGTTGTAGCTGCTGTTTGTGGCAGCCTCACTAACTGAAAGAACGGGACAATTTCCTCCGTCAGCTTTACCCCTTCCCACTCTTTTTTCAAGCTTTCTATCGGACTACCTCTGTCTTTTCTCCACACATACGGTAGCCCACTTTTCACACCAAGACCAAGGTGATCGCACACAACCTTAACACACATTCCACTCCAAATATCTTCCATTGTTTCCCATCTAAGATTTCCTTCCCCAGCCAACTTCAAAGCTGGCAATAAAGCCGGCCCCACAGCCTCACGATCAAAAGCAATGTTGATTCCACTGATGGGCATCATGGCCCTAGATGGAATGGTCATAACAGCATCAACATATCGAGAATTTCTCTGTCCTGGCTTCAGGGCTTGGGTAGGGGCATCTAAGTCAGCTAAATTAAGCCAGAGTCCACATGACAGAGCACACGTAACCCCACTACGCAGGCTAAATGGGTACCCACGAACAAAATCTGCTCCCTCACGATAAGGGTCATAGAGAGTATTAAAATAAAAAGGAGTGGCTGGGGTGGTCAGGTTAGCAAGATGCTGGGCCACAGCATCTATTATAAAACCCTTACTGTCCTTAGCTGGGATGCAATCATCATCGATTGAGACAATGTATTTCTTACGAGATACAAGAAAGCCAAAATACCTGCATGAGTAGCCGGAGAAGACTATGGAGGAAGAAGAGCCCACCACCCGGTCGATATGAGACTTGGAATAGACATCAAAATTAAAGCCCTCTGGTATCCTGAGTTCCTCTTTGAGATCAGGGTCTTTGACAATTATCAAGTGGAATCGGGAGAATATGGGTCTCCACTCATTCATAAATGATGTCAGGTCTGAGTGAAGTGCTCCTATCACAATGTCAACCTCACTGTCTTTGATGTTAGCTAGAGACATCTTCCCAAGTTACAAAAATGAAGATCCAGAACCAAGAGATTGTTTCTCCTAAAAGCAGCTCGTGTTTGGGTTTAAAATGTATCCAAGTGTTCATGCACAATTTTGTCTATCTTAGAATTTCTCAGAACATCCTATCAATAGACAATCAAAATGAAAGAGAAAAGCTTCAAAATCCAGCTCAAAACATCTGGAAGAATAGGATGAAAAAATTTCAAATACAACTCACTAGTAGGAAGGACAGGGGTTATGACATGTTGGATGTTCAATGCCTGGATGAATGCAAGGACTTCATCATTTCCTGTCGCCACAAACAATTTCAGAACTTTCTCAGTCAGTTTTCCAGCTTTCAGTGTTCTCTGCTCAACATGGAAAAAACAATGTTACAATTGGATATGAAATGGACCAAAAGAAATTAAGGAGTAGAAGAGCAGTTACAACTGAGGAGAAAAGATAACAGATTGGCTTTTTATAGCTCAGATGTGAATGGAATATTTATTGCTTTGGTTTAAGTGACAATCTATGCCTTGCATTGCATTACTTATAGCAGCAAAAATTGCAAGGGAAAAAAATTACAATAGCTTAATGGAACTAAACATTGAATGGAACTAAACATTGAATCAAACCATTAGATGGAATGGAAATGCTAGAAAATCAGCCAAGACAAAGCTATGAAAGTATCAAATGAGCTCAATGGTCACAAAGCAGCAGATGAAATTGCTATTGCCTAAGCAAGATGTTCACTTTCACGTCACTTCACCTTATGACCTTCCTGTCAAAACTATTCAGTGTAACAGAAGCAATATTGCAAACAAAAAAGCCAAGATAGGATTTGCCAGCAATCTGATAAACTAGGTGAAATGCAACTCTTCTAACTGCAAGAGAACTTCAAACTCATATCAACGTGAAGATTTTATTCCATTACCACATCAAAAGTTTCAGAGTAACATGTTAACATAGACATTTCACGATGTCAGTAATGAATTTGTTGCACACAACCTTTCAAAGTAAATTCTTGTTAGAGCATATAAAACTATTTTTGAGACCCACTTAACAACTTAAATTTTTGAATTGAGACGGTTTGTTGATATAGTATCAAAACTTTAATGACCGAACAATAACAGCTCAAATCCCACCACCCCCCTATTCTTCAGATTAAATTAAAAATTTCAGCATAAGGTGGTTGCAGGCATGTGCAAGTTTCAAGATAAAAGGGTTTTCACTTGAATGGTTATGTTAGAGCATATAAAACCATTCTTGGGGCTTGATCTAAGAGCTTAATCTTTGGGTTGAGATAGTTCTTTGATAATTTTAAATTAAAAATGTACATCATGCAACGAATAAATACAAAATGATCATAACCGCTTTGCCTTATGTTGTGTTATATGTTCAGCTTTCATAAAAGCATAATGCAAAAGGTAACTACCAATAGTGCACGGAAAAAATTACCATTATAAAACATAACAAAGCATGTCAGGTCATATTACAGAACAACAACTTTAACAACAACCAAACCTCAATCCCAAACTAGTTGGGGTTGGATACAAGGATTCTTCTGCATCATTCCAAACAATCAAACACCAATTTTCCTTGAAATCAAGGGATCTCAAATCTTTGATACCACTCCCATCATGCCAAATAACTAAAAGAAAATTGAATGTAAATCTCAACGGCTGCTCTCATTGGAAGGGAAAAAAACTTCACCTCTATGGAATGCCGCAGCCTAAAAGGCTTAATCTCATTATTATTCCCTTCTCTGGTTGATTTGATACAATTATGTAAATCTCCATGCTTGTGATTCATGGATAATTGAAATTATAACTGATCTAATCCAACTCCTTGTGAGAACTGATATCACCATAGCTTTCTTTATTCCAACTTAAAAGAGAACATGATAGAGCAACAAGCAAAGAGCATTTAGCATATACCTTTTAATTTTGTGCTTTCATATTGTAAATAAATAAACTATTAGTAAATCAATTCTATGTGTGAGCTTCGTGTTGTATAAGAATCCAGGACAAAATAACATGGATCAATATCAAATTAGAAACAAACACTCCCAGTCTCATCTCATCGCAATCACCATAAAATCACAGAGCATGAAAGAAAATCAGAATGCAGGATGTTGCTACGGAATAAGTGAAGCAAAAAACAAAATTTAAAAAAAAGGGCAAACTTCTAGATAGATCTAAATCTAGAGATCACCTCTTCTGAAAATAAATAAATAAAGGAAGCGAAGAGAAGAGAAGTACCAGGAAGAGATCGAGGATAATGTGATCAGGTATGGAAGAGAGATCAGAAAAGTTGGAGACGTTAAGGACAGCTGTGTCAATTGTTAGGGAAAGTAACGATGGCGGTGTGGTTCTCATCCAATCTTCTCTCATCTATCATCCATCCATTTATTTATTTATTATATTACTGATTAATCAATATCACCTCTCTCTCTCTCCCTCTGCTTTCTAAAGAAAGAAAAGTTTGACCAGGTCCACAGTTTGTCGAGAGATTGCTGGCCGCGTTCTCTCCGCCGTCGCTTCCTCTGCTCCTCACTCTCCGCCTGCCTGCCTGCCTGGTTATGTAGTCTTTTACATGTAAATCGATATCAAGTTATTTATATTCTAACTCGAGTTGTCCATCTAGTTTCCATGTAAATCCACCGATCAGTTTCCATCTATTTTAAAAATTTATTAATAAGAGCCGGTTTGTATTTTAAAAGTATTTTCGATAACATTTAAGAAAATTTATTTGAATACATGAATATTAAAAATAAATTTTAAAAAATAAAAAATAAAATATTTCAACATATTTTAAAACAATACTTTAAAAAACAAATAACATTACTATGGATATCCTCCCATCACTTTATTGCATTTAATATATATACATGGTTGAGAGATTACTAACATATTTATCGAGAATTGAACAAATGGAGATATAGAGATTAAAAAAATAGGATAGAATAATTGAATTAGTAATATAAAACATTCAAAGAAGAATATATATATATATATATATATATATGTTAGTAATCTCTCAACTATGTATGGTCGGTGATTGGTTGTGTAATCATCCATCTTTCCTTCTAATACAAGGTTTTTTTTTCCTTTTTTTTGTACGTGATTAGAAATTCAGAGGAAAAATATTAAGGGATTAAAATCTGAAGGGGTGAAGTTAAAGTGCAAAAAGTGCCAGGAGAGAAATGTTAAGGATATTTGGTAGAAATAAAAAAATTGCGTGATAAAAGTAAAACTTAATACAAAGATTAATATTTAAACAAATTAATTTAAAAAATACATTTTTGTATCAAATTTTATTTTTTTATTTTCAATTTTTTTTCATGAAAAGAAAAAGAGAAATCGCAGAATTCTGATGAAGAGAAAGAAAGCTCTTTGACATGACTAAAAGATTGATATTTTCTCCCAAGTGCAGGAGTGTCGAAGTAATAAATAACCCGGCAAGACCGGGGTCGAATCACAAGGAGGTTAATTGTACAAATTATAAACAACAGTAGTATAACAATAATAATAATAATAACAACAACAATAATAATACTAATAACAATAATAACAACAATGATAATAATAGTAATAATAATAAAGAAAGAGAAGAAGAAGATGATGATGAGAACTTGGAGATGGAAAATTAATGTAAGGATTAAACAATAATAATAACAAATGTCAAAGTTAGAGGTTCCACTAATGGTATATAAAACAAGTATAGTATAAACTCTTATTATTCAATTGGAAACCACACACAAAGGAGGTTCCAATCAGATTATATATTGTTAACATGATTACATTAGTCATCTTATTCAATTAATGCTAATACTTGTAAATCTCGTCAAGCATTCATGATTATAACTTATGTTAACAACAAATCAAGTTCCTTTCATAGCTCAGGTGTCATGCACTTTTAAGTACTAATCACTCTTCACTAGTAATAATTCTAATCACTAAACAAATTAAAATTGATATGAATAGGTTTAACTGGATGAGTCTTTATGGTGGTTATTTTAAGTTTCAATGTAGCCTAAAAAACCATATATAGGTTAAGGATGCACTATGTTTTTTGGTTTCATTTAGTGGTTTGGATTGTTTTTGGATTTATTAGATTGATAATTTAGTTTATTGGTGCTTTAGGGTGTTTATAGGGAGCTGCATGGTCGAAAAATAGGGTTTTTGGTAAAAAAATCTTATAGACCTGATTTTTCGGCCATCACAGTGGAGGCTGAATTTTGAGTTGGTAAATGATATATCATCTACTATAACAAACTACATATCGTTTTTCTATTTTTTTTTTATAAAAAAACAACAAGAGTGAATAACATGTCGCCTATCACTTAAAAAAATAACAGTTTCAGGTGCATGAGTCTTTTCCTTTATTTGTATTTTTATTTTGTTTTTTTCCACTTAATATCCTTTTATGTCTTTTTTAAAATATTTTTTAATTTTATTTTTTTATATTGTGTGTTTTTAATTTCTCATCAAGTTAATATGGTTTATTTGTAATTTTTTTATATTTCATATAAATTAAAAATGTTTATTTTTATATAGTATTTCTTTCATTTCATTTGATTCAATAATTTTTATGTGTCTATTAATTTTTATTACAAATTAATTTTAATAAACAAATTCATTATATACAATTATGTAAATGACTCATGTTGTACTATTAAATATCTTAATCTATATTTTTCTTTTTAATTTTTGTAGTTTCATTTCTATTTATCCTTAATTTTTTCTATAAAATTATTCCGATGTTATGATCTAATATGTACGATAGACACGTAATCTTGATATATCTCATATCCAAATTATGAATTTTACGAATTAACTCAGCTTTGCCTAAAGCTATATTTTTTTTTCATTTTTTTTTTGTTGTTGTTGGCTTATTTTTTATCAATGCACTTTTAAGTACTAATCACTCTTCAAATTTATTAAATTAATCAAAATCTAAATCGATTATCAAATTTCTATCACTTCTTTAAAGACATGATCATCTCCAAATTTATTTTTTCAGGTTAAAAAAATATTGTCTAACCCGCGTTGTCATACGGGCCACTAATCTAGTATTTAACTAATTGTTATCCTCCTTGAAAACTCTTCTCTTTTCTCAACTAACTCGTGTCAAATACAAGTAAATACAATGGAAAATTATCCCTCTCTTGATCCTTATAGCAAACATATCCTGACAACCGGTTGAACTTAGAAATAAACTAACAATTTACTAATTGTTATCCTAGGACATCAAAGAAAGGGTGAATTAATTGTTTTTGGAGACAGAGTGCTATTTATTTAATTTTTAATTTAAATCAGAGCATCAAAACCCTAACTAGCCATTTCAATCCATACACATAAATATAATGCAAGAACATATAAAAGTAAAAAGATCAAGGAAGACATATATGCATAAAATTTTATACTTGTTTGGAATTAACTGCTTATTTCACTTCCTAAAGGATCAATTAGGATTTCTACTATCACTTATGGCTTTCTTTATGGATGATGCCTCACTTTTTACAACTAAATCATTTCTCACTTTTTACAACTAAATCATTTTTCAAGACTCAAGATTTAAATAATCACTCTCAAGCCCTTACTAAAGCTCTTCCTGAATTCCAAATATTTTCAAGTGCCACTTGCATATTTAATAATTGATTTTATTAAAGAAATACAGATACATAACCTATTAATCACTCAAGATAAGATATAATGTAAGATCATGAATATTTAGCTAAGTAATGAAGTATAAGTTTTTTTTTTAGATGATGGCTAAATAAAGATATAAGTTTTTTTTTTAGATGATGGCTAAGTAAAGAACTAATCATATATATTTTTTTTTATATAGTAAAGGCATTTAGCATACTAGATGGTTGATTAGTACTTAAAAGTGTATTTTTTATCAAGGTTTTATATCATTATTTTGCACTTGAAGTCTTAATAACTCCTTAATTAAAGCATGTTTTATAATAATAAGTCTAATACCATTGGATAACTTTAATTTACAGTAAATGTTAATCCTCAATGTAGGCCTATCACATAAATATAAGGATTAATTGATGAGTTGAAGTATTGAAATTGAAAGGATAAAGAAAGGACTAAACTTAGAAAAGAGATGCTGGTGTAGTCCAAACTGAAACAATGTTTGGTAATTGGATCATATTTGGACCTGTAGATCTTGAATTTAGGTCTACTTTATATGGATGGAAAGTTAAGACATAGGCCTAAAACTTTCGTGTGGAAGGCAAAACTCAATTCTGCTGTTTGGAAGTCCAAATCTTAGAAATAACGTAGAAGTCCGAATTTATCCTCCAGCTTAGATATTGTTCAGTGTTCAACCTATATCTTGAGTTCTAGAAGTCTAAATGACCTCAATTTTTTTTTTCTGGAAAGCTGAGATAATTTTATAAAACTTTCATGGTAAGGTTGATTCAAATTCTTATGTTAGTAATGATATTTTTGGCAGACAAGAAGATAATGATTGCCACCAAGTCAAGGGTTGGTCACCTGACATGACCAAAAGATTGATGTCTTCTCCCAAGTGCAGGAGTATCAAAGTAATAAATAACTCGGCAAGACCGGGGTCAGACAACAAGGAGGTTAATTATATAAATTATGAATAACAATAATACAATAATAACAATAATAATAGTAGTAGTAGTAATAATAATAATAAAGAAAAGAAGAAGTTGATGAGAACTTTAAGTTAGAAGATTAATGTGAAGATTAAACAATGATAAAAATTCATGTCAAGGTTAGAGGATTCACTAATGGTATTTCAAACAAGTATAATATAAACTCTTACTATTCAACTGGAAACCACACAAAAAAAAAAAGTTCCAATCAGATCATAAATTGTTAACATGATTTTACGAGTCAATATATGTTATCGTGTTCGATCAACTTAAAAAGTCAAAAAGTGATAAAATCATATTAAAATGTTGAAATTATGTAAAATCATGATTTTGAACCTTATTTAACGAGTTTAAAAGGAATATATATATATATATATATATATATATATATATATATTGCATTAATTGCACCAAAAAGTAAAAAACTTAGTGTCCTAACTTATCTTTTTCTCAAAGTCCATCTAGTTCCAGTGTTTCAAACTTTCAATTTTCAAATTCGAAATGAACCATCTCTACAATCTACCTCTCTTTCACCTTGAGCCCTTTCTCTTTCTCTATTTTTTTCCCACTATTCTTCAAAATCCAAATCTCCACTAACTTGTACTCCTAGAAGCAAATCAATCAATCTTGGTGGAAAAGAATTATTTCTGCAAATTGCAACCTATTGGTAAGTGATCTATAACCTTGATTTTTTTTTTATATATATATGGAGCTTCTGAATTAGTTTTCTTAGTTGATCACTACTAGGGAAACTAATTAATTAGAAGGGAGCTGGGGAGTCAAAGTAATCAGTGATCTTAAATATTGATTTCTTATAACATGTATGACAATTTCTTCATTTGCACATTTTAATAGCAAATAATTTTGTTACTTTTCCTCAATTAAGAACTTTTTGTTCACTTTATGAGTATGATTTTTGAATCATGCGATTCGTGCCCATAATATCAAAAAGTGCCAGACCATTTTGATTCTTTTATGCAACACCTGTTGTTTGTTTTTGTTCATAAAATCCATTGA